AAAAGGAAGCTGAGGCCCTGTTGCTATGCCCCCTCATCCCCGAGTTAGTCCAGAACCCAGAACTTCCTGGTATTATCCCATTTCTCTGGACTTTAATTACCTTAACTTCAGCCCCTGATGCTCCTGGCATCAACTCGGCAATTTTTCTCAGGTTGATCCCCCGGGTCAGATTCATTTTCCGAGAGTGAATCTTCAAAATGTCCAGTCGGGCCTAGAAACAGGAGGAAAAAAAAGCCCTGAGCTCCACTCCCTACCCCCATAGACAGAGCCACTCAAGGTACCGCCCATTACGGACCTCCTCATTGGGAGGTGGGAATTCAATTTTCCTGTCGATGCGCCCAGGTCGAAGCAGTGCAGAATCCAGGATATCAATCCTATTAGTAGCCATAATAACCTGAGCAAAGAAAGAGAAGAGGTTTAGCTAAATTCTTTTTTAGACTGCTTGTCACCCCAGGCCTTCCCTTGGCTTGTTCTGAGGCCACCACCTCACCTTAATATTCTTAGTGGCCTCAAAGCCATCCAGCTGGTTGAGCAGCTCTAGCATTGTGCGCTGCACTTCACTGTCCCCTCCAGAGCCCCCTTCCAGCCGTGAAGAGCCAATGGAGTCAATTTCATCCATGAAGATAATAGATGGAGCGTGTTCTCGTGCCATGACAAACAGCTCCCTCACCATTCTTGCCCCTGTGCAGAGGCCAACCTGGTGTTAGGAGCTACTGAGATTTGTACCCTCCACCCTTCTACTTGGTTTGCCCATTCTTAGCCAGTTACCTTCCCCGATGAACTTCTGTACTAATTCAGAGCCAGAGACACGAATAAAGGTACAGTCTGTATGATGAGCCACAGCCCGGGCCAACAGTGTCTTCCCTGTCCCTGGGGGTCCATACAGCAGCACTCCCTGGGGGAAATAGCAGGATTCAGGGCAGAAAGCCAGCCTAACTCACTCAGTGAACGTTTAGTGAGTGCTGGTTTGTATCTGCTCACTTACTAGAGATTGGAGATACAAAAAAATAAATATCAAGGTCCCTTCAGAGCTTATATCCAAACCAGTTTAGTGGCCTAGAAACCTCTCCCCCAGCCAAGAGAGGAGGGAGGATAGTCCATCTCCAGGAGAAGCCTCACCTTGGGCTGTGCAATGCCCAGTGCTTCAAAGAGCTCAGGGTGCTTCACTGGCAGCTCAATCACTTCTTTGATCTCCTTGATTTGCTTGTCCAGCCCACCAATCATTTCATAAGTTGAATCTGGCACCTTCTCCACCATCATCAGTGACACCAGAGGGTCCACCTTGTTAGGTAGGATCTTGTGCAGAGTGTAGCTGTCATTTCTTAGAGCCACCCGACAATTGGGTGTCACCTGAATGGAGGGGTCAAGTTTCAGGAAGTAGTGCCCTAAGAACTGACCACCCCTACCCTCACCAGCTCCACTCACATCATTGATGTCGATGTTCTTGTCCACATCTACGACAAACTTGCCCTCAGGATGTACCTGAAGAAACAGGGGCTCATGACCTTCCCTGACAGCCACCAACTCACCAACCTCACCCAGGAAGACCCATGGGATTCCTAGAATAACATGACAGATGGGGCTAGGGATGTGGCTCAAGCGGCTAGCGCACTCGCCTGGCATGCGAGAGGCGCTGGGTTCGATCCTCAGCACCACATACAAATAAAATAAAGATGTTGTGTCCACTGAAAACTAAAAAATAAATATTAAAAAAGAAAAAAAAAAAAAAAAAACATGACAGAACACTGTCTTCCCAAGGCTTCATACAAAGAGTGGGAGTGCAGTGGACAACATGCTGGTCCCATTCTGCTTTTACCTTGACCAACACTTTCTTCTTATCCATGGCCCGAACTACTTCTCCCACATAGGAGCCCTGTTCCTGCAGCAGCTGTAGCTCCTCTCGCAATAGGCGAACTAGATGGCAAAAGACACAGTGGTGACCTTGCTTCCCCTCCCCTGAACTCAAACTCAACATGGACAAACCAAGTAATACTTTAACAAAAGTTTTGAAGGGAAGGTCACAGTCACAAAAGATAAAATTCACATCTTGAAGGGGTTTACAGCAGAGCTCTTGAGAGAGATGTACACAGGAAACAACTACATAATGACGGTGGGCAGCATCTCCATGGAAGGGAAGGAAACTGAACTGTTATGAGTCTGCAGGTCAAGGAGATTAGGAACAGCCACACCTCAAACCACATACATGTAGCTTTCCGTATTTCCCCCTCACCTTTTGCATTTAGTTCATTCCTCTGTGCCTGCAGCCGCCGGAGGTTTTGGCTTTTATCATTCACAATCAGCTGTGGAGGGCAAGAGACAAATTCCATTACCCCAGAGCAACAGCAGGATCTTGGCTAAGACCCTCACAGGCAGATGTGAACCATGGGAAAATCACCTGCATGTTATTTCAGATTCTCCAGTAGGATCCTAATGACCCTGTTCAGTCCTCCAAGAGTCCCTTAGGAGTCTAGGGCAGCCACCACAAAAGGTTGTGTAATACTGGTCCAGGAAAAAAGAATCTAATAGAGAAAAGTTACAGCTGGCTTGTATAGTGACTTTCTTTTGAAGAGGCAATGGAGAGAGCTTTGTTATTTATTATTGGTACCAGGGATAGAACCCAGGGGTGCTTAACCACTGAACTAGATCCCCAGCCCTTTTTATTTTGAGATGGGGTCTGAGTTGCTTAGGGCCTTGCTAATTTGCTGAGGCTGGCTTTGAACTTGCGATCCTCCTGGCTCAGCCACCAAAGTTGCTGGGATTACAGGTGTGCACCACTGTGCCTGGCCCAGTCCTATTTTTATTTTGAGATGGAATCTTGCTAGATTGCTGAGGGCTTCACTAAATTGCTGAGGCTGATTCTGAACTTGCAATCTTCCTGTCTCAGTCTCTGCTGGGATTACAGGCATAAGCCACTGCACCCAGCAAAAGACAGCTTTAAGTGAGAAGCCTTAATTCTAGCCCAGCTACTGTCAATTAAAAGGTAAAGCAGGGGCTGAGGTTGTGGCTCAGTGGTAGAGTGGTTGCCTATCATGTGTGAGGCATTGGGTTCGATCCTCAGCATCACATAAAAAAATAAATTTATTTAAAAAAAAATAGTAAATCAAGGGTAAGGCACTTAAAAAAACCTGTCACCAAACTGCACAGCATTAACAAACCTGCTTCATTTCAAGACTACTTGGAAGAACAAATAAAATCACATGTAGAAGCATTAATAAATGATAAACCAAATACAGTATCTGCAAATGTACCTGGAGTTTGGAAATTGTCCTCGTGCCCCTCTATCCCACCTATTTCTCTTGCTTAGCTTTTTTTTTTTTTTGTGGTGGTGGGGAGCTAAGGATTTAATCCAGCAGCACTTTACCACTGAGCTATATCCCCAGTCCTTTTCATTTCTTTTGAGAGAAAGTTCTTGCAAAACTGCTGAGGCTGGGCCCAAACTTGCAATCCTCCTGCCTCAGCTTCCTGAGTTGCTGGGGTTACAGATGTCCATCATCATGCTGGTTCTGGTTTAGCTCTTTAATATAGAGCACTGGGTTGCCCTGTTCCTTTCATTCAGTCCCCATGACATCAGTGTTGTTCAGACTTCTCAATACTGTCCTTCCTCAAGTTCCTAAAGTTTCACCAGCCCCAAACTTTTTGATATCCTGGGACTATGCCTTCCATTTTATAAGAAATCCTTGCATTTACACTTCTTCCAAAAACCACAGCCTTAGGCTAGTGGTTCCTTTTCTTCTTTCTTTTTTTTTTTTTTTAAAGAGAGAGAGAGAGAGAGAGAATTTTTTTTTTTTTAATATTTATTTTCAGCGGACACAACATCTTTGTTTGTATGTGGTGCTGAGGCCAAACGCAGGCCAGGTGAGGGCGCTACTGCTTGAGCCACTCCCCAGCCCTAGGGGTTCCTTTTCTATTAAAATTTCACATTTGCAGAAAAGTAACATTTGCGAATACTACTGTCCTCACAGAGGAGGGGCTTAAAGGGAACAAGAGACTGGCTTATGTGATATACTTTAAACGGTTTGTTACTTCTTGCACTTTTCTGAAAACTAAAAAAAAAACTAGGAAAATAGCTTCTTCCACTGCATTCCTGATGGAATTATATGGAACTCTGGTTCTCTCAATTCTCTTCCCTTCCAACTCCCCTCACCCTGCCACCCAGTTTGTTCTTACCTGGAGTTCTTCAATCTTGGACAGATAATATTGACGGAGTCCGCTGCCTGCTTTTCCCTCTTCCAGTTCCATCTGAAGACAGACACAGTGTAGTTACTAAATGTGAGGATAAACATCCAAGAGATAAAGCCACTTTCTGGGCACTTCTCCATAAGGCTTGTCACCAGGCAGCTCTGGGTGGGAGAAATCCCTAATTCCTCCCTCCCTTTTCTCTCTCCATTTCCCAAGACCAAAATGTCAGGATGCAGATACCAACTACCTTCTAAGACTTTTAGGAGGATCAAGAAACTGTATACACCGGAATGCTTCACATTGTGGCAAGCGCCATATACATCCAAAGTGTTATTACTACACAGAGCCAGCATTAAGGACTGGCATACGGTCTACTGTGACTTATCCCATCTCTCCACACTCCACTTCTACCCAGCCCCTGCCCGACTCGCCGGTGGCGGCGCTGACACAGCAAATCCGGGCTCAGGCAAGGCCCAGTTTGGATTGGTCCACCTAACTCCGGCCCACTTGATCCTCTTGTCCCGGCCCCCTCCCCACCTAGAATCATGCCTGCTCCACACCCTGCCACGGTCTCTACCCGGCTGCAGACGCAGACACCGTCACCATACCTGCTCTGGCCCGTCAAGCGCCATCTTCTTTCTTCAACGGAGACCGCCGGCATCCGCGCTGCCTTATTGCGCAGGCGCGGAAGCGAGGGCTTGAGGCCTGAGGACTCAACAGAGAAGAGTTCCGGGTCAATGGGCGGGGTGTGAGGGGAGACGCGAAAGGGAGCTGATGGGAAGGGTGGTTTGTCGAGGTCAGGAAATTTGTTAGGAACTGTACATGAAAGGGAGATCCTAGTTATTGCTTCTTAGAAACTAGGTATTTATTCGTTGTAATATGCTCTTCTGGTCCCAACTTTCAACTCGTACATCTAGGGGCAAAATTTGAAGATTAATGGACACACTCAAGATGGCGAAAGAGTTGGCGACTGAGACGCAGAGGGCGCAAACGGAAGCGGAAGTTCACTTGCTGCCTGCATGTGCTGCTGCTACTGTGAACGGCGCTGGGTTGAGGTTTGGGAAGCTGGGGTGGGTTGTGGTTGTTGCGAGAGGTGGGAAATGGGAGCGGAATTTGTTTAAAAGATACGTCCCAACTCCTGCTTTCTCCCCAGATTGAGTGACATTCATCCTTTTCATTATGGGCAAGAAGAGCAAAGTCGGCAAGAGTCGGCGGGACAAGTTTTATCACCTGGCAAAGGAGACTGGTAAGTGAGGGTACGTACTTGGAGAGAACGAGAGAATGATCTTGATCCTCATCGTTTTGCCTTTTCGAATATTGGGTTCTTTTTCCGCAGAAGGGGTGGTGGGTTATGAATCTGGGGAAGTCCTGGAAAAGCGCTATGCGAACCTTATTGTTTTGTCACCAACCCCAGGTTATCGTTCCCGCTCTGCTTTCAAGCTGATCCAACTCAATCGCCGCTTTCAGTTCCTGCAGAAAGCTCGAGCCTTGTTGGATCTGTGTGCTGCGCCAGGAGGCTGGTGCGTAACACCATTCTCTCGAAGGCAATTTCCTGGCCCTGACTGGCTTAGAGTTGCATTGGTTAAGGTCGGGATTCGGAGCTTTCCTGACCCGCAGTGCAATAATTCCAGCTTCAGATTTTTGTGCATTCCAGCCATTGGTCTCTTCTAAACCTTGAGGGATAATCAAGTGCCAGGGAAAGGGTCATTTCTTGACTGGAGAAAAGGCTTGTAATTGTAATGTATATGACATGATTGTCCACTCTATGGTAATTGCCATTAACAGTGAGAGTGAGAAATCTCATTGCTAAGGGAGGGAAAGGAACAGTCCTAGGTATTTTAATCTCTGTTCTTTTTCATAGGCTTCAGGTGGCTGCCAAGTTTATGCCTGTGTCCAGCCTTATTGTGGGTGAGTAACAGGCGATTCTCCTGGTATTTTAGGGGATGTGTATGAGGTACCACTACTTGCTTGAGGCAGCCCTTTAGAGTACTCTGATCTGATTTCTCCCAGGAGTGGACTTGGTTCCAATCAAGCCTCTCCCCAATGTGGTGACTCTCCAGGAGGACATCACTACAGAACGATGTAGGCAGGTAATAGGAATCTCTCTCTCCCTGTCCCTTTATATGCAAGTATGCACATCCTTCAAGTCACCCTAAAGGCATTTTTTTTTTTCTTGTTTATTGTACTGTGAGCAAGTGTCTGCATGACATCTCTGACAGGCCCATGAGAATCCCAGTGTGCACCTCAATCTTAAAGAGTCAGGGATGAAGGTGATTGGAATTGGGGGAAGGGCAGAGACTTTAGTGAAGTGCTTTCCAGTGTACTATTGTACTTCAATTTTCATAAAGATGGAGATGTGTAAGTTTTGTTTCCTGTTGTATTCCCCAGTGTCTGGCCCAGGATCTGGGCCATGGAGGCCACTCAGTAAATAACTGGATGATATAGATAGTAAACTGGGAAATGTATTCTTAGCCTTTTCTGTGTTTCTGATGCCATAATCCCTTTGCTTCTCTGTAGGCCCTGAGGAAGGAGCTGAAGACCTGGAAGGTTGATGTTGTACTCAATGATGGGGCCCCCAATGTTGGGGCCAGCTGGGTCCATGATGCTTACTCACAAGGTGCAGGGTGTGTGGGCTTGGAGAGGAGAGTGGAGGTGGAGGTGGTATGCCTGCAGGCCACATGGGTCCTCATTGACTGTCTCTGTCCTATAGCCCACTTGACACTGATGGCTCTACGTCTGGCTTGTGATTTTTTGGCTCGTGGTGGTTGCTTCATCACAAAGGTTTTTCGTTCTCGAGATTATCAGCCCTTGCTGTGGATATTCCAGCAGCTGTTCCGCCGGGTCCAGGCCACAAAACCCCAAGCCTCTCGCCATGAATCTGCAGAAATCTTTGTAGTCTGCCAGGGTGAGTATTATTTCCTTCATCTTGATCCAGCCTTCTAACTGCCAAACCGCATTTTGTGTTGTTTTGGTTTTGTTTTGGTACCAGGAATTGAACCTAGGGGCGCTGAACTACGGAGCCACATTCCCAGCTCTGTTTTGTATCTTATTTAGAGTCAGGGTCTTTCCGAGTTGCTAAGTTCCCACCAAGTTTTGCTGAGGCTGGCTTTGAACTCATTATCCTCCTGCCTCAGCCTTCTGAGTCGCTGGGATTACAGGAGTACACCACTACACCCAGCTCCAAACCACATTTTGAAATATGTCTTAACTATTTTAGGATTTCTGGCTCCTGACAAGGTTGACAGTAAATTCTTCGATCCCAAGTTTGCCTTCAAGGAGGTTGAAGTTCAAGCTAAGACTGTTACTGAGTTGGTGTCCAAGAAGAAGCCAAAGGTATGTTTGGGGTGGGGGCCAAAGGTCCTGGAACTCTGGGGAGGCTGTGCCCCTCTGGGTCATTCAGATAGCTCAGAAGTGACTGCTCACCCATTTGTCTCTCCATAAGGTTGAAGGCTATGCTGAGGGTGACCTTACTCTTTATCACCGCACTTCAGTCACTGACTTCTTGCGAGCTGCCAACCCTGTTGACTTCCTCTCCAAGGCCAGCGAAGTGAGTTTTCAGACTCCAGGAATGTAAGGGAGCTCTGGTCACAGGACCTGAAAATCTCCCTTGACTCCTTTTCTTTCCAAATAGATTTCAATAAATGATGAAGAATTGGCACAGCATCCAGCCACCACTGAAGACATACAGGCATGCTGTCAGGACATCAGAGTGCTGGGGCGCAAGGAGCTCAGGTATGCAGTACAGTGGGCATTGGGACCAGGAGCCCTAAGGACAAGAAAAGGTCTTTTCTTTGAAACCATGACATTGGATTTCTGGGAAAAGTGTACTCTTGTGCTGGAAGTTAGTGATTGAGACCTGAGCTTTAGCATTTATGTGGCTGAAACCTAAAAATTAAACCATGGGCTGAAAATAGAAGAGGGGACAAGGACAAAGGAAGAGATGCTAATATATTTCTGGGGCAGGTCACTACTGAACTGGAGAACAAAACTTCGACGATATGTGGCCAAGAAGCTAAAAGAGCAAGCAAAGGCACTAGACCTCAGGTGAGGTGGGAACTAAATTGAGATAGCTAAACTGGGTGTTGAAGGAAGTTTCTGGCAAAATAACCAAACTTCTTGGACTGCTTTGTCAGTCTCAGCTCAGGAGAGGAGGAGGAAGGTGAGGAAGAGGAGGAGTCAACAGGTGGAACCACAAAGCAGCTTTCCAAGGAGGAGGAAGAAGAGGAGCAACTAAACCAAACCCTGGCGGAGATGAAAGCCCAGGAGGTAGCAGAATTAAGGAGGTGAGGGGAAATCCAATACACAGTTCCTCAGTGCCTGAAGGTAGTAGAATGGAAGGCATGGATGGGGAATCTTCAGAGCCCAGCAGGTTTAGTCCCTCAACCCATCCCTTCAGGAAGAAAAAGAAGTTGCTACGTGAGCAGAGAAAGCAGCGGGAACGAGTAGAACTGAAGATGGATCTGCCTGGGGTTTCCATTGCGGATGAGGGGGAGACAGGCATGTTCTCCCTGCGCACCATTCGGGGTCACCAGGTGAGGTGGGGTTGAGGGTAGAGATTGAGGAAACAGTGGTCAGTTTGGGTACCTGGAGGTGGGAGGATTGGGTTAAGTGTGCTGAATTATCATGAGCTTTGGTTGCTGACTTCATCTGTAAAAAGAATTGGCAGGCAGTGGGGAGACCGGAGATAAAATAAGAGCCATCTGAACACAAAGGCCAAAAAGAAACAGTGATGAATGAGGAAGATTTGTGTGTTATAGATTTATGATTCGGGAATGAGAATACTAAGACCACAAGTTCAGGTTATATTAGATGCAGCCAGGGCATCTGGTTACCAGCACAAGTGAAAACAGGGTGTCCTTTAGCAGGAAGCAGTGTTTTTTAGTTCCTTGTTACCAAGTTAGTACCTCATGTTAAGCTGTTGGGTCATGCACTGAGGAACAAGCTTTTTCCTATTAAAAACTGTCACAAGCCAAACAAGTTTTTGTGACTTTTGTGTGGGAATGACACAATACAGACCATCTTTATTGCCTAGGAAAGACAGTAGAGCCTGGTGGCCCTAGAGCAGACACAGGCTTAGTCTCAGATCCAGATCTACCACTTGAACTGTGTGACTCTGAGCTCATTCCCATTTACCTTTTTTCTGCCTCAGTTTTCTCATCTGTACAACAGTAGTAGAATATGTTAAGTGTTTTTATGAGAAATTTTTTAAAAATATCGTTGGGTGCAGTCCCTGTTGTGGTGAACACTGAAGAAATAATAGCTCTTTGCCATGATTAAAATAGATTTTGGTGTTGTGGTACATATCTGTAATCCTAGCTACTTAAGAGGCTGAGGCAGGAGGGTTGCCAAGTTCCAGGCCAGTGTGGGTAACTTAACAAGACCCTAAAAAGGACTGGGGACATAGGCGAGTGATTGAGTGCCTCAGGTTCAATCGCAGTACCACACAAAAGATTGAGGTTCTGATGTTTGAAGTGAAACAGACAGGTTGTCTGGGCTGCTTTTTTTTCTCAGTGGAATCAAAGTATAGATGTATTCTCAAGTAATTCAGGTGCTTTCTGAGAGGAATTAAAAAAATATATATTTTATTGCTGATGGACCTTTATTTAAGTGTGGTGCTGAGAATCAATCCCAGTGCCTCACACATGCTAGACAATCACTCTACCGAAGAGCCACAACCCCAGCCCCTTGGGTTTTTTTTGGCAATACTGGGACTTAACTTAGGGGTGCTCTACCACAGAGCTATATCCCCAGCCCTTTTGAGTTAGGGTCTTTCTAAGTTGACCAGACTAGCCTGGAACTTGTGATCCTCCTGCTTCAGCCACCCAGGTTGCTAGAATTGTGTGCCACTGGATTCTGGAAGAGTGATTTTTTTAAACCAGTAAGTGGGACTGGACCTGAGTGGGATGTTTTAGACAAGCCACTCATATTCCAGGGGTATAGCTGCCCTGTCTGTGAAAGAAGATCATGTATTTATATTCCTAGTGTTGCTGAGGATGAACTAAGATATTGGATATGAGAAAACACAGTAGGTTTCCTTGAATATTTGATCTGTTTTTCTTTAGTTGTTAGAGGAAGTAACACAAGGTGACATGAGTGCTGCAGACACATTTCTGGCTGATTTGCCAAGAGATGACATCTATGTGTCAGATGCCGAGGACGATGATGATGCATCTCTGGACAGTGATCTGGATTCAGAGGAGTTGGCAGGAGTCAGTAGACATCAAGGTCTAAAGGACCAAAAGAGGTAAGGGGTGTTTGTGTGTGTGCGCGTGCCAAAGGAAGTGCCACCACCCTTAGCTCAACTTCTGAGGCAGAGTCCACGTGGGGGTACTAAGCGTCCCCCAACTTTTTTTGGGGTCTGCAGTGTGCGGTTTACTCAAGTAGATAATGATAAAGAGGAGGAGGTGGAAGAAGAAAATCCACTGTTGGTACCACTGGAGGAAAAGACAGTGCTGCAGGAAGAACAAGCCAATTTGTGGTTCTCAAAGGTAAGAGGAAGCTGGGAGCAAGGCTGATGGGACACTGGAATTCCCAGGGATAAAGGGAGTTGAAAATTTCTTGTACCACAGGATGGCTTCAGTGGGATTGAGGATGATGCTGATGAGGCCCTGGAAATCAGTCAGGCCCAATTATTATATGAGAGCCGCCGGAAGGGGCAGCAGCAAAGAAACCAGCAGCCACCACCACCTTCCAGTTTAAAGACTGAGAAGAAGTCTCCTCAGTGCCAGGATGAGATCCCTAAGAGGATAGAGGCTCCCTCCGGAACAAAAAGTGCCACTCATCCTGGAGGGGAAGAAAGAGATGGCAGCTCAGAGAGTGATAGCAGTAGCAGCGAGGATGAAGAGAGGTGAGTGGGTACAGCTGATGGGAAACTGGATGAAGAGGAAGCAGTAGTATGGGTCATTTCTCTAGTATGGGCATTCCCTATAACGTTGGCTATATTTAGGGAGCTTTAAAATACGTGTTTCTGACTTAACTGGCCTAGGGCACAACCTGAATTCCTGCACAGTTCTTTTAAGTGGCTTAAAGTAGGAAGCAATGATGACGCACAGGAGAGGGTAGAATATAATCCTTTCATCTTCCACAGCTGGGAGTCTTCCCATGGTAAAAAGCGAAGCCGGAGATCTAAGCCTGATGACGACGGGTTTGAGGTAGTGCCTATCGAGGACCCAGGTGAGAGCTTTATACAGAGTGGAATGAGACCAGTGGGAATCTATGTTGGGAATCAGGGTTTGACTTTTGTCCTTTCCTCTAGTGAAACATCGGATTCTAGATCCTGAAGGCCTTGCTCTAGGTGCTGTAATTGCCTCTTCCAAAAAGGCCAAGAGAGACCTTATAGACAACTCCTTCAACCGGTAAGGGGGACAGAAAATCATCAGGTGTAGTTGGTTATATGGGTGATTTCTTCCTAAAGAAGCCTGGAGTGGTTGGTTGGTGGACTGATGTCTGTTCCACGTAGGTACACATTTAATGAAGATGAGGAGGAGCTTCCAGAGTGGTTTGTACAGGAAGAGAAGCAGCACCGGATAAGACAACTGCCTATCGATAAGAAGGAGGTGGAGTATTACCGGAAACGCTGGCGGGAAATTAATGCACGTCCTATCAAGAAAGTGGCTGAGGCCAAGGCTAGAAAGAAACGGAGGGTAAGTGGTAGGGGCTGCCTGGAGTTAGGTGTGGACAGAATATGGGAAGAGAGGTCACCTGACTGAGGCTCCCTCCCAGATGCTGAAGAAGCTGGAGCAAACCAAGAAGAAGGCAGAAGCTGTGGTGAACACAGTGGATATCTCAGAACGAGAGAAGGTGGCACAGCTAAGAAGGTAATTGAGGAGAGTATATGCATAGAGGCACATTAGGGTAAAAGAACAGCAGAAATCAGACCTCTAACTCATCTGCTTTCCCCTTTGTAGTCTCTACAAGAAGGCTGGGCTTGGCAAGGAGAAACGCCAAGTCACCTATGTTGTAGCTAAAAAAGGTGTGGGCCGCAAGGTGAGGCGGCCAGCTGGAGTTAGAGGTCATTTTAAGGTGGTGGACTCCAGGATGAAGAAGGATCAGCGAGCACAACAACGTAAGGACCAGAAGAAAAAACAGAAGCGGAAGTGAGAGCTATCTCCTTCTAGGAAGATTATAAAACTAAGGGAAGATATGGTGCTGCTCACATCATAGTTGACTGAGTAGGCTGGGAGGTGGAGCTACAAGATGATGTCATTATGGTTGGAGGATGGTCCCTCAGACCCCATACTCCTGCATGGTGCTGAATGAAGAGTCAGATCATTAAATCTTAAGGAATTTTAGCATTGGCCATGTTTGTTATAGCCTATTCTTGGGCAAGTGGGCTTCTTGAGTCTTCTGAATAAAAACCAAAATGATAGCACAGATACCTTTTCTTAGATTTAATAAATACATTCCCACATCTGAGTGTTCCCACCATCTACTATGTCAAATCATAATTTAATAGGTACCAACTATTTTAAAGTAGAAATGACAGACAATCCATAGGTCCCAGTAGTAAAACATTTACTAGAGAGCAAGCAGAGAGGAATGCACATCTTAAAGAAACCTTCACAAAGTCACAAAATTCAAAGTTTGTATATTTCTTTTCCTTTTATAAACAAGATAGAACAAAAATCATCAATCATCTCAGCAAAAGACATCTCTACCATTGGGGCAAGTTAAAAAAAAAATACAATGAAATAGAAGAAGACACTTCAAAAGCTGTTGGTTTTTTTTTTTTTTTTAAACAACGCTTCAGACCTGGAGCATTCCTGGAACCCTTTCCAGGAGTAATCACTTCTTTTCAATCATAGTATCTCTGGAAATCTCAAAAGCCTAGGTCTGGAAGGCTGCCTCTTCCTACATGTCTCAGGGCTGGATACAAACCTCGCTAGGGGACCTGAGAGTCAACTCTTGTTTGGAATTGGGCATCTCCCTTCCCTGTGAATGTCTGAAAGCACCAAATTCCTTCCCAAACATCCCTAACAGCTCAATGGATTAGGTTTGCAGATACCAACTCCTAAAAAGGGGACTGCCTGGCCACATAGCTAAGAAAAAGAAATTCAATTTATAGATGTTTATAAGGTGACATTTTAGTAAAAAATAGAAGCTACTTATAATATAAACTTAGAGTGAGTTTTGTGCCCTACAAGGCCCTTTTCTCTGGAAGTACCCTCCACTTACCCTCATGAAACTCACCCAGAGCCAACAGAAGCTACCCAGCTCTTGCTGCTTGCTGGGACCAAAATAGCTTCCCAAGAAAGCATCTGAACAATCATTCAGATGAAGGTGTAATGTCTCTGCCCTCCTGCTCTCCACTAAGGGCAGGGGTCCTTACACCTTGGGCCCCAATGCAGCCCTGAGACACCTAGTTACCAAAAATCTCTAAAAATAAAATTAAAGACAACTGATTTCACGCTATAGCACATATGTTCTAACTGTCCCATCTACTTTTCTTGCGTTTGGGTGGCTCAGGGACAGCAAAACCATCCGCTGTCTTATCTGTCTTGCTGTCCATCTTGTCCATCTTGCTGCTGTCCACCTTGCTTTCACGATTACAACCTTCTTTCCTGCTTTCTCCATTCCGACCATCATTTGCACCCCGGCTTTCCCCATGCCGGCCTGTACTTCCTCCATGCCTGTTCTCCCCATGCCGATGGCTGTCAGTATGGCGGCTGCTGCTACTTTCTGGGTAGCGGTATCCATCTCCATGTCGACCACCGTCTCCGTGCCGTGGACTATCACCATGCCGATTGCCACTCTCTCCATGGCTATGGCGGCCACCACCCCGATTCTCAGTATATCTCTCTCGCTTCCCATTGCCACCCCCAAGTCCTTCTCTGCTGTTATTTCCTGAAGCTGTGTTGTTGACTCCCTGGGCTCCGACAGAAGGGTAGGTCACTGGAGCACTGGTGATGTTCCCTGTATTGCCAAAGCCTGGGATGCTCTTGGTGGCGGCACTGGTGATGGGGTTGTCAGGACTATTATGGCCCTGCTGTGCTGAATTAGTTGGAACAGAATTCAAGCTCCCTGCACTAGTCCATCCACTTGCCCCAGCAGCAGAGCTTCCAGCCTTCTGATTACTTAAACTGGCTGCAACAAAGTGACTCTTGTACTGTGACTGAAAGAAAGACACCAGTAGTAGTTATGTTAACAAATTCAAGAAATGAGTATACATATAAATTTGGTCATAATCACACAGAAATTAGCTATCCAAGCTCTATGACTTTAGTATCCTGATGGCCCCCATAGCACAGGCCCTTTTGATCTTGTGCTGTAAAGGAAAACAGATTTTTGTGGATAGATGGACCTCAATGTATCAACACTTACTGCCTGACAGGTTAGAATAAAGCCCGTGTATAGTAATTCAATATATTTATGGTCTGCAGTCTGCTATTTACAATTCAAAAATACCACAAGTTCAAAAAACAAAACATTTTTGAAAAAGTTTCACAGCAATGCACTGGGAATGCAGATGGGAAGTAGATCTAGAATGTGCAATGTGCAACACCATGGGTTTGTTTAATCCTTAGCACCATACTCACAATCCTGATTACTTGGGAAGCTGAGGCAGGAGAACTGCAAATTTGAGTCCAGCTTCAGAAACTTAGGGAGACCCTGTCTTAAGGACTGAGGATGTAGCTCATTGGTAAAGCACCCCAAGGTTCAATCCCCAATACCAAAAAAGAAAGTTTGACAGCAAAACCTAATTTGAACGGATAGAAGGCTATTATTTAGCTTCTACTTAATTATGTAAAATGTGGCTATAGACCTTGTTGATGTGACAATATGTGCACTATGTATCATTGTTTCTCAAATCTGAATAATAATTCCTAGATTCCTAAACAAGGGTTTCTGAATCCCTCTATTAGTGAAAAACAGAAAAACAATCATGGGCCCAAACTGGAACCATCAGTCTGGTACAGATTAATCTGTAGATTAAAATTAAAGCCCAGCCAGTTAATCAGAAAGTTGAGCATGGTGACACATGCCTGTGATCCCAGCTACTAGGGAGGCTCACTTGATCTCATGAATTTTGAGACCAGTCTGGGCAACATAGTGAGACTACATTTTAAAGAGAAGAAAAAAATGTGTAGAGTGATGAACAGCATCAAACTGGTTTTAGCCAAGAACATGGCAATTACTCTGAACTAGACTGGGAAAGTCTTGGAGGTGGGTAACATCACAGGTTGTAGAAAAAATACTGCTGTAGTACAATAGTCCCAGACTCTGGCTAGGACAGATACAGATGACCAGCACAAAGGGTTTTGCTCTGTATGTAGATCCCCAGGTAAGGTACTGTTAGTTTAATGTGCAACCCAAGCAATGAAAAGGCCTTATTGTACATGAACTTTATCAGCTCATATACTACCCTCAGGAAGACCAGCCCCCTCATCACTGCTCACGAGTTACTACTGAAAGCTATTTTAACAAAATGTTTATTTCAGACCTGAAAAGCTGCTTTCATTGCTGTCAGCCGATCTCCCATGGCTCCTGTGGAAGGCTTATAGGCCTCATAATTGCTCATTACATTGTTGTTATTTCCTCGGTCCTAAAAAATAAATGTATCCATGAGAAATAGGTGGAAAAATAGGTGGAAGAGCCAACTGCCACAGACTGGAATGGGAACTGGATATTTTTTAAATTACTTAACACTTTGTAAGAAAAGATGCAGTAACAGAAAGCCATTTAAAAATATTCGTGCCCTTCAACCCAGTAATTCTATTTCTACAAATGCCCATCAGAGGGCTGGGGATATAGCTCAGTTGATAGAGTGCTTGCCTCACATATACAAGGCCCTGCGTTCAATCCCCAGCACCGCCAAAAAAAAAAAAAAAAAAGAAAAAAATTCCATCAGATTAATTATGCCCAAAATTGACCATGAATTTTTATTTAATATATTTTTTTAGTTATAGATGAACACAATATCTGTTTTATTTATTAATTTTTATGTGGTGCTGAGGATTGAACCCAGTGCCTCATGCATTGGAGGCAAATGCTCTACCACTGAGCTATAGCCCCAGCCCGACCATGAATTGTTTACACAACATTCAATTAAATAAAATAAATGTTAAAGATGAAAAGCCACCAGTACAGCATACTGTACAATGTTTATGCTCTGAATCAAGACCATTAAGTCTGAATTTCTACTTCAATACTTACCAGTGTGTAACTTTGGACACCTCAGTTTTAGTATCTGTATTTTTACACTGGGTTGAAGATTAATACTTGGAATGGCCCTGGCACAAAGGCTCAGTAACTATTAGCTATCACTATTATTTGCAATATCATTATTATACTGTGGGAACAGAGTATTTATATACCAAAGATGCCAAGTTAGCTATAATGTTCTAGAAGTATACTGGCAACTTTCTTCCATGGCTTAGGAATCAACAAGACATAAATCAAGCAGAAGCCAAGTCTACTGGTGCACATCTAGAGTCCTGTCCACTACAGGGGCTGGGGTGGAAGAACTGCTTGAGCTTACCAGTTCAAGGTCAGCCTAGGTAACTTAGCAAGACCCTGTCTCAGAAATTCTAACAAAATGAAACAAAGCATAAGCCAGGTATAGTGGCACCTGCCTGTAGACTCAGCTACTTGGGAGGTTAAGGCAATATGAACACTTGAACCCTTGAGCTGGACACCAGCCTGGGCAACACTGCAAGACCTTTATCTGGGAGGGATGGTGGTGGAGAGAGGAGAAACAACAAACAGTGTATGATCATTCCTGACAAGATAGAGCTAGAGATTATACACTGACTCTCTGGCAATGTTTTTAACAGCAGGCTATAGGTCATTGTTGGGGGGCTTATAAAGAGAGACTGGTGGTCCCCACCTCAAGAATTTGAGTCACCAAGTCTGTGGTGGGAGAGTAGTCTATGTTCTGCTAGTCCAGGGGTTATAATCTGAGAACCACTACAAATCTATACTAATTTCCTGAGCAAAACTGGTCAGCCAAGTACACATAGATGCTTCTTTATGAGCCAGCACCGCATTTACTTCAATCAGTAGATTAAATAGATGCTACCTGCCAGGCAAGATTTTGAACTCTGGGTCCCCCCCCCCAAATATTGTTTAGTTGTCATTGGATCCTTATTTTATTTATTTATATGCAGAGCTGAGAGTCGAAACCAGTGCCTCACACATGCTAGGCAAGCACTCTACCACTGAGCCCAGCTCCAGCCCCAAACTCTGGGGCTTTTTTAGGTAGATCAGAAAAGTCCTACCATCATTTAAGACATGGACTGACTCTAAGAGCACTACCACAGTCTGAACTCACCGTGTTCTCAGAGCCTAGGCCAGGTCGCTCCCTATAGCCTAGGCCTCCTCCACCAATGTTCAGCTTTTTGCCTTTTCCTCCTTTGAAGCGGGATTTCCGAAACCA